GAGCATAACATGCATCTTTCAAAAAAAAAAAAAAGTCTTTCAAACCCCAAAGTTTTGTCAGGTAGTGTATATTAATAAATAGCAGGGCCACGTTAGGTTTTTCATCTATTTTCAAACAGCTACCCAGATCCCAGATCATTCTCATGCTTGAAGCTAAGCCTGTCCGCCTGGGTTTGTCAAAGCAGGCACAGACCGCAAACTTTGATTAGACAGAAAGTTTGCACAGAAGGTCTAGACCATCTGGCATGTAAACAAGGACAACCTGTGCTGTGTTATGTTAACTTAGATGATGGTGCATTACACTGAAATCTGTCTCTTCATTAATTTTGGGAACATGCAGCACCAGAAGAGCTGATCGAGGTGAACTGTCATTCCCCATGCCCATTTCCAGAGTTCAATCAATTATTTTTGTTGAAGGTCTGTGGTGCAGTCAATCTTCTTGTGCTTTTTTAGTTGACAATTTGTGTGTGTGGAGAGCATTTTGTTTTGGAAATCTCTAGTGAGAAGAACTCACCACATATGAGCATGGAGAGCTCTACGAGAAGAGTTTACCTCGCTTTGATGCAAACGCAGCAGTCATGTCACCTGTCACCCATCAAGCCGACAGGAAAATCCTGTGTTGTGTTAAAACATTAATGCACCGTTTTTGTTTGTGTTTTTGAATTTGTGTTTTACCGTTCTTTTCCACACATACTGGGTCCAGACAGGATCTACAGACTTGGCTTGCATTTTCTACACTCATTTGAGGACTATTCCTCTGAGAGGACTATTTTAGATTGATTTTGTGTGTGTGTGTGTGCCTACCATATTTTGGGGACAAATTTTACCACGGGATGTCAATCCCGTGGCAAAAACAGAGAAACAAATAGGGACATAATTAGCGTTATGTCCCATGTCACATCACTTTTTTTAAACTAGCCTTTTTTGCCTATGATTTCATGGGCTCTATAACACAGAGCAAAGCCTAGCCTGCAGTTCTTTTGCTAATTGTGTATATTTTGATAAGCACTACACTGTTCAAAAGTTTGAGGTCAGTATTTATTTATTTATTTTTAAAGAAATTAATACTTTTATTCAGCAAGGTAGCAGTAAATTGATCAAACGTGACAGCAAAAGACATTTATGAAGTTACAAAAAATTTTCATTAAAAAAAAATGCTTTTCTTTAAAACTTTCTATTAACAAAAATATTAAGCAGCAAATTTTTTACACTGACAATAAGAATTTTTTTTCTTGAGCACCAAAGCAGCATGCTATAATGATTTCTGATTTCGTTTAAAATTCTGCTGAAAAATTCAGCTTTGCAATTACAGGAATAAACTACATTTTAAAATATATTCAAATAGAAAGCAGTTATTTAAAATTGAACAATATTACTAGGACTGTTCCTCTGAGAGGACTATTTTAGATTGATTTTGTGTGTGTGTGTGTGCCTACCATATTTTGGGGACAAATTTGTACCCAAAAGTGAGCAAAACCTGACAAAATCGCCAAAAACCTCCATTTGGGGACATCCTCATTTGTAAAACTGGTATAAAAATGAAGTAAACAACGTTTTTTGAAATTGTAAAAATGCAGAAAGTTTTCTGTGAGGGTTTAGGTTAAAAAGTGTGTTACTATCTGTATATAAAAACAATAGAAGTCTATATGTCCGTGTGTGTGTGTGTGTGTGTTTAGTCAATCTTTATTTTAAAGTAAGTAATATCACATTTTTAGTTTATTTTATTTCAGGTGAATAGGGTAAAAAATTGAACTAATATATTACCATACTTCCCCATTTCATTACATTTAAGAACTGCAAACATTTTTTGTATTACCAGTGGGGGTTTTTTAAACTCGATATATATCAGAAAATGCTGTCAACAGCCAGAATTAAAATAAGTTTTCTCCATGTTTTTAGTTCTCACATTAAGTGTTACCCAAGTGGAGATTTCTAGCAGAAGAAAAAAAATCCCATTTTGAGAAAACAAACTTTAAATATATGTATTGTAAATAAATGGGCAGACGAAAATATATCTTGGATGTTTTCTTTCCACCAGTTCTTCTGAAACGTGTTATAAAAAACCAAAGTTCCCAAAATCTCAAAATTGAATGAAAAATACAATGATATTGCCTTAATTTTATAAATGTAATTTTATAATTATATAATTTCTAATTTATTTAAAAACATTTTATTTTTTAATTATTTTGTTTATTATTTTAATTTATTTCATTTTTGTCATTAATTTTTCTTTCATTATTGTCTTTATTTTATATCTCATATTCTAGATTATTGATAACTGGGAACGTTATCAGATTAGTTCAAATATGTAAAAAAACAAACACGTGCATTCAAATTATGCAGAAATCTGTGGAGATTCCGGTTTTCTCCTGTTTTTCCTTTGCCGTGATGCAACAGGGAATCAGGATTCTTCGGAACGTGTTTAATGTCGCCATTTGTTGTTTCCTGCAGTTACATAAAGCTAATTGTCCATCATGTGTGGTGCTCATGTGGGAGTCTTATTGCAGTGTTTTAATGCATGTGTTTGCATTATAGCATCGAAACCCGTAGACGTTCAGCTCTGCAAGGGAACGACTCTAAGTACCACGCAGCTATGTCACATCCCATGCCCTGTGGAGTGTGAAGTGTCCCCGTGGGGCGCCTGGGGGCCCTGCACCTTTGAGAATTGCGATGAACGCGTCGTGAAGAAAGGTAAACATGGCTGAAACCAATAATATATTCACTGAAAAGGAAGTGTCAAATACTGAGACACAATATTTTACTGAGGCACAGAATAGAATATTTCCTTTTGATTTAACCATTATCGTAAATAATTTGTCCAAGATGCTGCATTACGGCATATCAGCAGAAATCACGTTTCAAACATGTCTTAATATTTCTCTACTGTACACTGATTATATTATATTTTGAAAAACAAAAAGCAAAATAGACCAATAATAGAAGTTTAAATATACTGAACTTTGCCTCTCTATATAAATTTGACTAATTGGTCAATTTTTAATGCCATTAAGATATTTTTACATTGCAACATTATTTTAATGATAGTTAAACACATTTGCTCCTGTAATGTTATACATTTTCAAATGTATTATATATATATATATTTACTTTTGTATGCATCATAGTGGAAAAATGTTGTATTAAATGACTTGCCTTTAATTAAATTATTAACAGAACAATTAAATTATAATTTTAAATACTTTTAAATATTAATATATTCTTATTTTTGTGGATTACTGTTTTGAACAGTACTGAGTACTTTTTTTGCAAAAAAAAAAAAAAATTGTAATAAAAAATATCATAATGCACAAAAGGTCCTAAAAATATAATTTATTATTATTATTATTAAATGATTTATTTAATGATTTTGAATTTAAAAAAAAAAAAACGTTGCTTTGCTTTTGGACTGAAATGTGAATTGGACATGTTCTTGAGAGTTTTGTAAGATCCACCCTAAAACAATAGATTCAACGAAAGGTCACACACTTCCACCACAAATCGCCCTAGGACAAGTTGGTTAAAAGTAATTGGGTGTAATGTCATTGAAAATGACATTAGATGCTACTTAGTTTAATATTTTGTCCTACTCCAGTGACATTTTAAGTCTGACTTACAGTAAGTGTTCACTCTATGTATGGACCTAAGAGAGACACTTGTATATTTGACCGGCTAAAGACTTGCACTAGTTGGTAAATTGTCCTCTTCAACGACAGCAAGGCTGCATTTATTTGATCTATTGATCACAGGAATAAATTACATATTACAATATGTTCAAATAGAAAACAGGCACTTCAAATTGCAATAATATTACACTGTAAAAAATCTGTAGTTTTTACAAAATAATATTGGCAGCTGTGGTTGCATGAAAAACAGAAAAACTGTAAAAACATTTACAGAACAAACTAGATTTTACAGTATAAAACTGTAATTTACAAACAAGAAAATTTGAGTGTAAACTAGTAAATTCAACAATGCACACTGCTACTAAAATCTGTTTTGTATCTTTAACATAAATTGACAACCACCATACTAATGCAGGTGGCAAAAGAGACAGAAGAATATGAAGAATCAGTTCATCACAAGTAGCTTTTCCACAAGCTGAAGTATATACTAATATATAGAAGACACAGAGTCATTCATGCAAACACTAAACACCATCATGGTAACATACACGACACTTAAATAATGCAATAAACATTCATTAAACAACAGAAGATGTAACATAAAACCCACATGTACATAACTGATAACAAACATGACAAAACTATTAAGAAACATGATTATTTATACAAAATACTTTCAAATGTGGAGTGTCATGCTGGGAATTCTGGTAATATTAGTTTACAGTTTTTTACTGTAAATTATATGTTGATTTGTTCTTTTTTACTTCTAAAAATTGTACAATTAACAGCATTTTACTGTAAAATTACATGAAATGTCTGGTTAGATCTTTTACAGTTTTTCCCTGTATATAGTACGGGAACTTCCTGTTAACATATTAACTTTTTTTTCCAATAGCGTTTTTACAATATTTTACAGTTAAAATTACACAAATTTTTTTACAGTGTAACTGTTTTCTCTTTAAACATTAATTTGCTGTAAAGTTGCTTTGCAATGATTTGTATCGTGAAAAGCGCTGTACAAATAAACTTGAATTGAATTGAAACTTGAATGTTTATTTGCAGGTGTCAAGTTCAGACGACGTACAATCACTAATTACCCCACGGGTGGCGAGGGGAACTGTCCTCATCTGGTGGAGGTCATCCCGTGTGATGATCCCAGCTGTTTTAGCTGGCAGCTGGTCAAGCTAGAGGAGTGTATCCCTGAAGAAGACATGGACTGTGGAGAGGGAACGCAGACTCCACAGGTCCGCTGCATCAAAAGCGAAGGTATTAAACACTGCTCAGGTCAGGTTTACACTGTAAAAACATCCTAATTTTAACAGCTAAAGACTATAAAATTGCTGCAGTAAAAACCAATTGGTTAACGATAAGTTCTTTTACTATATATGGTGAACTGTAATAGATCTAACGGGACATTTAATGTCATTTTAAGGTAAAATACTGCTAAATGTAAATTTTTTGAAAGTCATTTTATAGTTAACAGTGGAAAAAATTTACATTGGTATTTCCAGACTGTATCTGCTATGCACATTAGTACAATCTATTTTTCATTTATTTATTTTATTCTATTCTTTGCTTATTTTAATCATGTAATTAGCCTCTGGGAATTCAAACACTATCCTGGTGGAAGGCAGCCGTATCTCGTCTCTCAGCTTGTGTGTCCGGAACATTTCCCTTCTCAGCTGGAGCTCTTTACAGGGTTAATGCTGCAGAGAGCAGAGGAGTGTAAACATGCTGCTAATGGTGATCGTGTCCTCCTACAGCTCAGCTCCTCAATAAAGACAATCTCAGCCGTGCCTGGAGAGACACTTGTATATTTGACCGGCTAAAGACTTGCACTAGCTGGTAAATTGTCCTCTTCAACGACAGCAAGGCTGCATTTATTTGATCTATTGATCACAGGAATAAATTACATATTACAATATATTCAAATACTAAAATCTGTTTTGTATCTTTAACATAAATTGACAACCACCATACTAATGCAGGTGGCAAAAGAGACAGAAGGATTATTTATACAAAATACTTTCAAATGTGGAGTGTCATGCTGGGAATTCTGGTAATATTAGTTTACAGTTTTTTACTGTAAATTATATGTTGATTTGTTCTTTTTTACTTCTAAAAATTGTACAATTAACAGCATTTTACTGTAAAATTACATGAAATGTCTGGTTAGATCTTTTACAGTTTTTCCCTGTATATAGTATTGGAACTTCCTGTTAACATATTAACTTTTTTTTCCCATAGCGTTTTTACAATATTTTACAGTTAAAATTACACAAATTTTTTTACAGTGTAACTGTTTTCTCTTTAAACATATTGTAATATGTAATTTATTCCTGTGATCAAAACTCATCATTACTTCAGTCTTCAGAAATCTTTCACAAATCAATCTAATATGCTGATTTGAAGCTCATTTTTCATTATTATCGCAGTAGTGCTGTTTAATATTTTTGTGGAAACTGCAATAAACTTTTTTCAGATTCTTTGATGAATAGAAAGTTCAAAAGAACAGCATTTATTTTAAATAAAAAATCTTTTGCAACATTATAAATATCTTTACTGTCACTTTTGATTAATTGAATGTGTCCCTGCTGAATAAAAGCATTAATTCTTTCAAAACAAAAATAAATAAGAAAAAAAAAATCTCACTGACCACAAACTTTTAAATGGTAGTCTATATTGGCAAACTGACACTTAAAACCAGCTTGGTGTAATAATTGCAAAAAAAAGGTTAATCTTGTCTGAGTAAAGGTCTAGTATTTGGTTTGGTATTTTATTATCTTATGTCATGAAATTCACAATGTGCTGTCAGATTTGATTGGTGTGGTTCTTTTTTATTGGTTAGTTTGGATCGAATTTAGGAGTCTGAAATGGTCAGATGACGCACTTCCTCACTGGAATGAATTGAATGATTCACTTGAACACTGAACACTGTCTGCCATTGGCCGAGTAAACAGATGAGCTCCCAACCATTGGCTGCTGTGTCAGGATGCTAAAACAAACAGAGCAATGTTTTGACAGACACAGGGGCTGTGTCTCATTTCGGAGGCTGCGTCCTCCGGAGGTCGCATTTGAAGGCTGGATACGTCATTAAGGATGTCTTATTTAAGAAAAGTAACCATAATAAAATTGACTGTTATTCCTTGTGAGGTTTAAAATACCATAATTTTTTTACTTTGCAATTTAACGGTTACTTTTCTTAAATGAGACTCCCCCGATGACGTATGCAGCCTCAAAATGCGACCTCCGGAGGATGCAGCCTTCTAAATGAGACACAGCAAGGGTCACAGCGTTCTGACAGTCTTCTGACACGTCTGACAACCCCTGTTTCTCAAGTCTAAAACACCTTGTTAGTCCTGCTAAATACTCCATGTTCTCAAAGTTGACAGCTTCTTGCATTATTTTTGTGCAATTGATCTGGGAAAACTGTCATAAATTTGGGAAAAAGTAATGCTTGATGGTCAGTTTTTATATCTAAAAATGCATGAGATCTCAAAGTAATCATTTCTCAGTTTTCTCTGGCCAAGAACCGTATAACTGATATAACTGAAATGTTTTTATGAGCAGGTTTATCTGCAATAGCTGATACCAAAGCAATAGACATAACTCAAAATATTCAGTATCTTTCAAATATTCATTGTTGGAAAATTTGGCTAATCCTCTAAAGTGCTCATTGTAGTAACCTGGTAGCTTGCAAACCCTTGGTTTCAAGGCATGCTGGTAAAAAGAGCTTGTTTTTCTGTCAGACTTGTCTAAAAATATCTGAGGACCATAATGGACGTAACAGTGGATGCTTCCAGAAAGTGCACATGTAATTTCTCATAATTTTGCCTATGTGGGCTCAGTATATTTATGGAGAGTCTGAAAAGATAAACCATCACAGCCTCTACTAGGAAACATCTGCTGTTTTCAAGAAAACCCTCTATGTCACGTGACCACTGTCATTTAGAATCTGCTGTGTGGCCATGTGATATGACGTCTATGAAATAATAATAACATGCAATAATGTTCTCTAGCATCTGCTAGATGCTACTAGCATACGCCTCTCTGTAGCCGCACGCTGTGGCAGATTGATTCCATCACGCACTGATTAAAATTGATCTGCTAGTTGTTTTTTTACAGCCAGACTTGGCATCTGCTTCACTCTGACTGTCTCGGCGAGTGACACGTACAATATTGCTTCACAAATGGCCACGGTTCTGACAGAGATCGATGTAAATGTTGTATCGCTGTCTGCTACAAGGAAAACTTGGAGTGTCCCTGCTTTTGATGGAAATATTTATTGGGTGTTTGTGGCTCAGTGCTCAAGCAGAGAGCTTTTTTTGTTTTTTTCTCCGCAGCGTGTCACTGAGCTAAAGCCAAAATACAAAATACCCAAGCTGATACTCATCAGATTTGGCTCAAAGTAAAAGATTTGATAAAAAACCCTTGAGAGAGGCTGTGCGTTGTAATGAACGCTGCCAAACACAGACACGCTGACAACAATTGCACATGTTTTGTTTTTGCCCGTCCTTCAGAACCATCTGTATGATTGCTTTCTCCAGTTTTTAGGATGGCACTGTTTCAAAGTAGGACAACAGAGTGGTTTGAAATGCATTAAAAGCTTGTCTGGGTGAATCATATTTTGCATAAAGAAAATGTTGCCTAATTTTAGGGCCATTAACATAATTAGAATTGTGACGTTTATTGTCATGACAGTTAAGAACATTTTACGCCATAATTGTCATTACCATAATGCATCTGGATGTTTTTTGGTGTCTCCCTTATTTCTCGATGATTCTCATGAGCTTTTTTTTTTTTTTCATTTTTGACAATATTATATGCTTAAAGTAATACTTTTTTTAATATATTAATATTTAGTATATTTTATATTTACTTAATGTTCACTTTAATCTTGTTATGTTTTAATATTTTATATTTTTAAATCTGTTTAATTTAATATTTAAAATTGTAATATTTTATATTTTTAATGATCAAAAATCAAAGGCAATACAATAAATTCTACATTGGTGTATGAATAAATAAGAATTAAATGATTCTTTTTTTTTTGCATTAAAGAGATTTTATTGCATTTACAGTATTATTGCAAGAATTATGGGAGAAAAATGTACATAATTGTTGTGCAATTAATGCATGCAAAAAATCTAAAAAGTTTTAAAAATAGGCTTGATTGTCTTGCCTTCTTGCTTCTTTTGAAATTTGACATGAATTATAACCCAGACATGTGCTTGACATGTTACGTCAGCTTCTTCCGTCTGCTGTACAGTATATAACCTACATGTGAGATCAAATACACTTACACCAGATGATACTATTACATAAATTATGAATTTGTATGTGGATGTTGGTCAAGATCCCCTGGGAAACTGTATTTATTTTTAAGTACTGTTTAACAATTTAGCTTAAATATCTTCATGGTTATAAATATTTTCATCAGCTCATTCTTCAGATGCATCAACGTATCAGTTTTACAGCATGTACAGTGAAAATAATCATGCGAATGGTGCTTAATGAATTTGAAACATGTTTTAAACCCACAAATGTTTTGTGCTTCAGGTACAGAGGTGGAGAAGGAGATGTGTGTGGATGAGGTCTACCCTTCATCTGTGCCCTGTGTGGTTCCCTGCCCTAAAGACTGCGCTCTCAGTCTCTGGACCGAATGGTCCACCTGCTCCCAGACCTGCTCCAGCAAAACCGCCGAGGGCAAGCAGATGAGAACACGAGCCATACTGGCATACAATGCAGGAGAAGGTACAAAAGATTAAACTCGGAAAGCTAAACACATCGCTAAACTCACACAATACTAAACAGTAAAAATAGATACACATTTTAGGTAAAAATAAATTATAATTATATATGGGTAATACTTTAGATTAGGGAACACTATTCACTATTAACTAGTTGCTTATTAGCATGCATATTACTAGCATATTGGTTGTATATTAGTACTTATAAAGCACATATTAATGCCTTATTCTGCATGACCATATTCTAGATCCCTTAACCCTACCAATACCTAAGCATAACTCAAACATAACTACTACAAACCTTACTTACTATCAATAAGCAGTAATTAGGAGTTCATTGAGCAAAAACGCTTAGTTAATAGTGAATATGTGTTCCCTAATCTAAAGTGTTACCAAATATATATAAGATATTTTATGTTTTTTAAAGAAGTCTCTTATGCTCATCAAGGCTGCATTTATTTGAACGATAAACAAAAATACAGAAAGAAAATGTAATATTGTAAAGTATTATTACAATTTAAAATAGTGGTTCACTTTCGATACTACACTCGTACTGCGTCTGCTAAGACGCTTTGGGAAAAAGCCTTTTTTCTCCTGAACTGAAGCCTTTTTTCAATCACGCAGTGAAACTGCCTGGCCATTGGTTCGTGCAGTGTATAAAAAACAAACCAATGGCTCGGCAGCGGACCAATGGCTATATAAGTGGGCGTTCACCCCAGGATTCTCAGATTTCTTCTCCTTCAGCGACGACTACTACTACGTCTCTACGCTGATCCGAAGCATGCTCGCCATTGACACGCCTTCGCAGCTGGAATCGGGACCTCTCAGCACGGCTGACCTGCTTCTCCACCGTTACTGCGGTTCGTGCGGGTCTCCCCTGCATGCCGATGACGGCGACACGGAGTGCGTTTCCTGCTTGGGGAAATCCCATGTGGAAGCTGCGCTCATGGGAACTGATTGTTCTCACTGCGAGACCTTCAGTCTTGCCTCTCTCTGCTCGCGGATCGCTTTCTTTTCAGAGAGCGGCTCCGCCCCTCGCGCCCTCCCGTCTCAGCGGGGCAGAGGACTCGAGTGACCGGCTGCGAGCGAGCTCACGTCGGCCCAGATCCCGCGTGCCTCGCCCTCGCCCCAGAGAGAGAGTTCTCCCGTCCTTTTCTCCCAGTCTGATCAGAGTCCCTCTGCTGGCGCAAGCAACCTGATCTCATTTGGGGGAAGCGAGGACGAGCTGCTTGATGACAGCATGTCATTAACAGCCTCGGACGCAGAGGAGCTGTTGGGCTCGGTGACTGACCCCACCCCCTCGCCATCGTCCGCGCCCAGCGCCGCCAAAGACGGGATGGATGACGAGCTTCTCCGTATCCTCTCGAAAGCGGTCGTAGAGCTGGGTTTAGAGTGGTCTCCGCCAGAGGGGCCCTCCCGCAGCCGTCTGGATGAGTGGTTCCTGCCGGGGCGCTGCCAAGCCCCTCGTCAGTCTTACTCTCCGTTCTTCCCGGAGGTCCATGACGAGCTCACCAGATCGTGGCGCGCTCCCTACTCCGCCCGTCTTCGTACTTCTACTTCATCTGCCCTCACTTCCATCGACGGCGCTGAAGAGAAGGGGTACAATAAGCTGCCTTCCCTGGATGAGTCTGTGGCTGCGCACCTCTGCCCGCCCACGGCTATCAGCTGGAGAGCAAAGGCCGCTCACCTGTCCAAGCCGTGTAGGACCACTTCAGCTCTCGCTGGATGCGCCTACACTTCAGCTGGACAGACGGCTTCGGCGTCTCATTAAATGGCAGTCCTCCAGGTCTTTCAAGCCAAGATCCTCGCTTCCTCAGACGAGTCTGGCCTGGACCCTGCGACCCTCAGGGAGCTGAGGAGCGCGACCGACCTGGCTCTGCACGCCACCAAGACCACCGCTCAGGCGATCAGGAGATAGATGGCCAGCCTTGTGGTACTCGAGCACCATTTATGGCTGACGTTAACAGAGATCAAGGACGCAGATACAATCCTCTTCCTCGATGCTCCAGTCTCTCCTAAAGGTCTCTTCGAACCGGCGGTCGAGGGATTCGCCGAGCGCTTTATGGAGGCACAGAAATTGTCCCAAGCTATGCGACATTTCCTGCCTAAGCGCTCCAGCTCCGCTGCTGCCTCTGGTCGCCCTAAGTCTGCACTGACTCAGCAGCCCGCTAAGGCGCAGCAGACGTGGGGATGCTCTCGCTCGGCCAGACGCTACCCTCTTCCTAACTCTCGCCAGGGACCCCAACCCAAGATTGCGTTGGACCTGGTGCCTCAGGCGTCCTCCTGATCTGTGAGACAGGAAGATGATGGGACCAGATTTCACTACGGCCGGACCGCCCCACAAGCAGCCTCTCTTAGACCTCCTGACACCTCGTTCAACTCCGGGTACAGAGGGAAATGTGTTTTTTGCAAACAACGGGTCCGTTTATGTGCCCAAGCATCAGCCGCTGTTATAGCGGGAAAAATAAAAACACAAACATTTTCAAAAAGAGAGTAAACTTCCTCTTCCAATACTTACGAGTGTTCTGCCCTCATGCGGCCAGTCACTCGAGTTAATTCAACCCCTTGCCATGCTGGCCGAGGCCTGGCAGGCCATCCCCGGAGTGTTGAGATGGGTTATGGGGATATTAAAATGAGGATATTCACTCCAATTCGCTCGAACACCCCCGCGCTTCAGCGGCGTGGTCCCCACCTTAGTGCAAAGCAAAGACTCTCATGTTCCTCATCCCCAAAAAAGATGGTGGCCTCCGGCCCATCCACGATCTCAGATGCCTGAATCACGCCCTCATGAAAAGGTCGTTCAGGATGACTACACTGAAACAGATCCTTGCGCAAATTCGCTCAGAAAACTGGTTCTTTTCTCTGGACCTGAAGGATGCATACTTTCACATCCAGATAGCCCCCCGTCACAGGCGATTCTTGAGATTCGCGTTCGAGGGAGTGGCTTATCAATACACGGTCCTTCCCTTCGGGCTGTCCCTGGCCCCCC